TAGACTAACAATAGATGTTTATCCCATAACAAATTCGCTCTCATACGTCGGACAATCAACGAATGTGGGTGAACCATTTCATTGTACTCAAGACTATTAAAAGAGAAATTAATCAAAAAGTCCTCCTCCCCAGAGCAATCACGCCACAGTCACAACAATAAGAGAAACGTTGACCGCCAAAACAATCGGAAAATGATCGATGTACCATGTTCTCCTCTCCCCTAGTCAATCTGCCTTCGCTTTACTTTGTCCCTTGATCATTTCCAGTGGATAGAGGACGGATTAATAAAAATCTTTGCTTTAGTTAAGGGGGCAGGTCTGCTTCGCTGCACATGTGGTCCTGTTTTATGTCCAGATTGACGACTGACGTACATATGCGCTGGATTTGTTTTCTGAGCCCTTTGTCGAAGATTCTAAAGAAATCGCTGGGAATAATTATTTTGCGAAGCTGTGCGATTAAGCATTGATTGCTGTGTCCTGAAAAGCGTTATTTCGGGACTCAATTCGTTACAGTACAGGGTACAAAAAAACAGAGAATAGAATAATGTAAATTAGAAAAATGTAGTATACTTAAAATGACGTCAATCGTTTCGAGATAAGTTCCTTTTTTATCTCAGGAGCAATTTGAGATAACTGGATGTGTTATATGACAGTTTTTCAAAAATAGCTTTTTTGCATTAAGTGATTCCTTCATTCTGTGATCACTTTGTTGCTTACCACTGAATACAACCAGTGGCGGGGTAGCATTATGCTAAACTTCGCCTCATAATAGATTCGAGATAAAAAAACGTTTAGTGTCCTTCTTTGACACCAGTATACCGAATAAAGGTCATTTTGGCTTCCGGCGTAAATGGTCTGCTACACACGGAGGTTGTGCGATGTGCCATCGACGGTCCTGAGGAGGGTAAGCTCACGTCCTTGACGCTTTGTGATCCTCCAAAAGCCTTTGACCGTGTGTCGGATAAAATACTGCTGGAAAAGTTACAATATTATGGTATTCAAGGACACTCTGAACTTTTTCCATTCTGATTTGGTAAATCGTTGTCAAATAGTTTCTGTGAATAGCGAAGATTCAAACTATAGATCAACAGAATATGGTGTAGATAGATAGATAGAGATAGATTGTTTATTGTCCTATTAGATCATGTTACATGATATAAGACTTGTCAATATCAATTTGAGGGTCATATATGCGTTTGAGCAAATATGCCAGAAAAATACTTATAATTATAAAATAAATAGGGACATTACAATTACAAAACATTTTAAAACGTTAAATCACATTATAGGTACAGGTACAGTGCAAGAATCGTAATGTGTTCAATCTGTAACGTTAAAAATATATACATATACAGCGACTTTTTTATCACAAAAAATGTTCGTCTAGCCGGTAAAAATCATTGAAGCTGATACAAAGAAAAGAAAAGCGGTAGGAGAATCTGTTAGAAATACATAATATATAAACACAACAAACATCGAGCAGTGAGGACAAATGGTTAAAAGCTTAAAAAGAAAACATACATACTTTCGTTAAAACTCGAATAAAAAGTGAAATTAAAATACATTTACTCCACGATAATAGACAATTCACTTATAACGAAATGATTAACAGCTTAAAAGAATTTGAAAAACAGATACTTTCATGTGTTAGTAAAACTCATGTAGAGAGTAATAGCATTTTTCAACCAGATATTTCCTGAGATGTTTTTTCAGCGCAAGGATATTAGTGCTTCTCCGCAACTCACTCGGCAGATTATTGTATACCTTAGTGCACGCTAGAGTGGGAGATTTTTGGAATAGGGCAGAGTTATGTGTCGGTATACTCAGATCATGCCCTATTCTAGTGTTGTATTGACTATTAATGGCGTTGTTACGAACAAATCTATTGCTATGTTCAAATGCGAAGATGACACATTTGTAGATATAGATGGAAGTTAATGTAAGCAGATTATAGCGTCTAAATATTTCTTTACAAGAGTCCCTCTTATCAATATTAAAAATTAATCGAAGTACTCTTTTCTGCAGGATGAATAATCTGTTAATCATTGTTGCCTGTCCCCATATGATTATATTGTTAGTGAGGTGAGAATAAACTAGCGCGTAGTACATATCTAAGAGTGAGTTTAGATGGATGTTAGGCTTTAATTTCAATATTGCAAAATAAGCACTGTTAATTTTGTTGCAAATGTGATTTATTTGTGGTTGCCAGCTTAACTTACTATCAACATGAGTTCCTAAGAAGACAGTTTGATCTGAAAAGCTATCAATATCCATGCGTGGTTTCTTGTTGAAGAAATGGATTTCAACAGTCTTATATTCATTCAAAATGAGGCGGTTAGACTGGCACCACTTGCTCATTTCACTTTTGACTTTCTCAATAGATTCGAGAAGATCCTGCGGTGTCGTGGCACTGACGACGATAGATGTGTCATCCGCATAATTAATCATGAAGCCAGACAATTTCAAGTCATTTATGTATACAATGAAGAGCAGTGGTGCAAGTACTGAGCCTTGTGCCGCACCTATATTCACGGAATATTGAGTTGACGTATGACCATTGACCTTCGTTTTCAATTTTCTATCTGTGAGGAAAGACTGGATCCAGCTGAGAATAAAATCCCTTATACCTAAGCAGTACAATTTTTCTACGATAAACGAAATATCCATTATATCGAATGCTTTCGAAAGGTCAAAAAATAGTCCAGCAACGTATCTGTTTTCGTCTACTTTTCTATATATATGGGAAAAAAAGTCAAAGGTCGCCGTTTCTATAGATCGTGAGGGTCTAAACCCATGCTGGGTATCTGATAAGACATTATAGCGATTGAGAAAACATAATATACGTTTATACAGACATTTTTCAATGACTTTAGAGATCATCGATTAAAGTGATATTGGTCTGTAGTTTTCAAGGTCTGTACGGTCACCCTTTTTGTATACGGGAATAACAATCGCTAGTTTCAAGCATTTCGGGAATTTACCTTGCTTCACTGATTCATTAATAAGGACTGATAGGGGGGAAGATATTTCACGTTTCACAAACTTTATCACACGCGTTGAAATTCCACCATTTCCACTGCTTCTTTTATTTGGAAGGCTGCTGATTACTTCCACGATCTCTTCAGTGGTGACATCCTCGTAGAACATTGATGATGCTACCCGATTTTGTGATGGACATCTTGATGGGTTGTCACATTTAAAGTGTTCTGCTAACTTGCTCTCTGCTATTGTGGAAAAATACTTGCCAAACTTGTCGGGTACGAGGGTGTCAGTAAATTCTTTGTCTTCATTTTTCAGCACTATTTGATGATGTTTCTTTATTCTTCCGGTTTCTTCATTGACTATTTCCCATATTTTTTTAGCTTTGTTGTTGCTGGATTTTATTAGACTACTGTAATACTCTTTTTTTGTTGAAGAAATTAATTTCTTGTGTTCTTTCTTGTTGTCAATGTACTGCTGTCTCATACTTACATTGTCTTCATGCCTTTTCACCAAATCATGTAGTTTTCTTAGATCTAGGCTGGACTGTTGGATTTTTGGCGTCACCCACGGTTTAGATTTCTGCTTTTTGTGTCGTGTTGTATGCCTCTGGGGACATTTCAAATCAAAATGCCACAAAAAATTGTTGAGAAACCGTTCAAATATTCCAGTTTTCCTGAGCTAAGCTAACCTTGAGGTGATTTAAATTATCATCATTTATAGGCCTTGTCATGAGCAAGTGGTTGTCTTGATGTTCGAGGTTGTCGTGGGATGCATGAGAGAGCGAAAGAAGTTGTGCAGTGCGGTCTGAAATGTGGGGTTCAAAGATTGTACATGTCAATTGCCTGGGTCTGAAGTTCGTTATGATATAATCTATTGATGTACGTGTCATTATGTTATTTTTGTTCACTGCAGTGCGAGTAGCACTATTACAGTGATTTATCATATTGTAGGATGATATCAGATCTTGAAGTAGATATGAATTTATGCTGGGTTTCAGGCTATCTATGTTAAGGTCCCCACAAATAATGTTTTTACTACTTTCCAAAAATAACCTGTCCAATATATTCCCTAAGTTCTCCAGAAATATCGCTACGTTACCAGATGGTGGGCGATACACACATATTATGCCAAGCTTCTCATTAGATCTTCCGGAATTCATTGTAAGTCCACATGCCTCGATTTCTCCCTCTTCCGACGCCTTGCTCACGAACGGTATGCATTTGGCTGTTAAACTGTTTTTGACATAAATTGCACATCCTCCATGTATGCGTCTCACTCGACAGAAGCACGAGATAAGGGTATAGCCGTCTATATTCGCGGATTCTATAGCGCCTTATGGTAACCACGTTTCGGTAAGACATAGTACATCTGGTGACGAATCGTTAACAAGTAGCTCCATTTCACCGAATTTATTTAAGAGACTGCAAACATTAAGATGAATTATTTTGAAGTTATTCTCTTCGAGGCATTTCTTTGAAAATTTTGTTGTTTTGATTACTTCTGTTTACTGTGAGAGGCGACAAATTTAGTGGAGTTAGATATATAGTCTGCATTGGGCAAGGTGGTCATTGGACTTCTAGTGTTCTGTGTATTAGCTTCCGGTGAAATAAGCGTTCTCTGTGTGTGATGTCTTGTTGATGACCCTTGCTTGACTGTGACAGAGGTATCTTTCGGTGTGACTTGTGGGGCTGACGATGACGTGCATTCAGGGCGTTTTTCATGTTCGTTTAGAGTTTGTGGTGGTGGCATTATTTCGTTGCTATCTGAGTTGAATAATGATGATGGTCTTGTTCCAAAGCTGTTGTGTAATATTAGTTCTGTGATTTCGTGGCAGAGCCTATGTTTACCCTCGTTGTTCAAATGATTGGAATCGTTCTTGAAATGATAGCTTCGAAGACAGTCAAATAAGCTCAGTAAATGTGCATTTGACCCGTGGCATGTGGATTTAATCTGTCTGTTTATGTTGGCAATAATATTATTTAGTATGGGGCGGTTTGATCTCCACTGTGGTATAGTGGTTAGTACGATGTGACAGCTTCTAGTTTGTCCTTTAGCTCGTTCGCTTTAATAAATCCTTTGGACAGGGCATCATTTGATCCTGCGAGAATAATGACATAATCCATTTCATTGAAGTCGGCTGTAAGTACATCTACGTTCTTGATTACATCACTTATAAGAGCATTTGGACTGAGGATCATTTCGACGGCAAAGTTTTGCAAGGGCAACATTTTCCTTAGGATGTATACAATATTTCGTCCAAAATCATCACTGAGTAGCAATATCTTATACTTGTTATGGTTTTGGATTCCTCTGTGAGCTTCGCTATCAGAGCTGGATTTGACATCTTTCATGTGGGTCCTTCCTGTATGTAGGCTGTTATGACTCGGTGTCTGGGTTGCATTTGTTTGGGAGACACGTTGTGTCTGTGTAGATTTCTCGACTAGAGTTTTTCTGCCTGCAACTTTTTCGATTATCCCTTTCAAGTATTTGCAAGGCCGCAAGCCGCAAGGCTCTATTTTAGCGCCCTTACTTTTCGTTATATATTTGAACGGCATCTTCCATTATTTATCATCAATAAATTGCGTGTTTTGGTGACGGCACTACCTTAGCTCAATCACTGAGAATCCAAAGTAGAAAGATATCTTGCGGCATTGAGACATACTGCTTAAAACTTGAGAGACAAAACTCAAAAGATCATTCTGTCAGTAAACAATCGACTAAATGAAAATGACGCAGTTCCTCCTTCTTGGCATAAAAAATGATGGTGCTCTCAAATGGGAGGCCATGTAGAATCTTTATATGAAAACTTTTAACGCATTCGTATTGCGACAATTACAGTATATCTAACCAAGAAGGCTTTTTAACCGCATATTTTGGCATTTTTCACTCTCATCTGATCTATGGCATCATGATTTGGGGAGGATCATGTCACGTGCGCGCGTTCAGAATGCAAAAACGTTCAGTGAGGATTATAGCAGGTGCTCTAAGAGCACTGCAAACCTTTCTTCCAAATGTTGGAGATACTGCACTTGCCATGTATCTGCTTTGCTACACATCCATGAAAACTTGAACTGCTATACAACCCAGTCAGAAATCCACAACTATAATACAAGACAGGCTGGAACACTGAGATTGATACGTTATAGACTAGATATATCTGCCAGAAATTCAATGAATCTGTTTTTTTACAATAAGCTATCTCAGACCATCCGTTAGCTGAGTTATATGCAATGCAAACATCGAATAAAGTGCATGCTCCTCGATTAGTGTTCTTACTCGGTGCAGGAGTTTTTAAATTACATTCATTTATGATTCATGACTTACGTGCATTCGATTTTGTTATTGTATTGACCTTCTTTTACTTTATGGATTCTACATCCAATCACTTGTCATGGATATAATTTATGCCGGGTGTTCCTTAATGATATGCGAATATTCAAGGATGTGAATCTACATGAAAAATTAATGTTAGTTTACTTTATAAACTATAATTAATATTTTCTGAACCGCTTCAGATATTTCACTGACATTTAGTACGTAGTGAAAGTTAATAAAGATGCATATTTTTCAATGCAAAATAATTTTTATCTTCAACAGTGGCGTGCGTACGGGTATTGACTTCGATATTTTTAAAGAAAAAAATGGTACGCCAATCGTTTTTTGCCAAATAGAAATTATTTTTGAATTCCCCGTTCAACTTAAAACAAATGATATCTCTTGAATTGTTTTTCTTCGATGCGCCATTTTTGAGTAAAAAAATAAATACGGTTCTATTGTCTAACTTGCAAAATTATTATTAATTTAATTAGAACAATTAAACACATTAGGGGTAATGAACAACAACAACTGACAACATAAACATAACATTAAAACCAACGAAATGATTAGAAAAATTGTTGAAAATGGCCTCGCAAATAAATATGTAATTACGAACCGCTACACTGAAATGCGCTGGTGCACCATCATGCATGCACCACATATTGCTTCTTATTACTAACGGAACATCATCAAGCAGCAAAGGCAACTGTTGTTGAAGAAAATTGAGGTAAGTCTCTCCGTCAAGTCGTCCCGGCAAGAAAAATGGGCCAATAAACCGAAAATTGGTGTTGGAAATGGGTTTCGGTTACGGCTAAGAGATTTTCTTCTGCCCACAAATGATTGTTGTGGAAATTCTGAATGGCACTTCGAGAAAAATTGGCTTCGCCCGTGAACAGAATCATTGATTCAAATTGCGGATTTTGTGTAATTTTTTGAAGATACCACTGACAAAAGGTCACACGCCTTGGAAAATCAATGGGAAGTAATGCCTGTATTCTTAAAATATGGGAAGAATATAACAAAAAAATCCACTAAAATTCTCCAAACAATTTGATGGCAAATACTTAAGTGTCTAGCGATCTTCCTCGTACTCGTTTCAGGATGTTCTTCGACTTCGTGCAGCGCTGCTTCCTCAATTTCAGGTGTTGTCACACTTAGAAGTCTACCTTCAGATGTTCCTTTTCGAACAGAACCAGTTTCAACAAGACGACGATGAATATTAGAAAAGGTTCGACTATCTGGCAAAGCTTGATCGGGATATCTCTGGTGATAAATCCGTCTGGCTTGCTCACCATTATCGTCGGATAGGCCATATATGCATTTCCGCTATTTCTGCATTTGAATAATTCACCATTGTTAACAAGATTGTAAAAACTAAATAATGAAAAAGATGTCACAGCGAACAGATTTTGATAACAGAAACCTGTCAGATGTGAAAAGCCAGTTACATATTCCAGGGCAACTAGACATTTATTGCTAAATTGCATTCTTCAATTATTACATTAATTTTCTCGGACAATAAAACGGTTTTTATTTTTTTATTTTATTTTTTTTATTTTTATTTTTTCTTAAAAAATAAGTCAATACCCGTACGCACGCCACTGTTGAAGCTAAAAATTATTTTTGCATTGAAAAATAAGCAACTTTATTAACTTTCACTACGTACCAAATATCAGTAAAATATCTGGAGCGGTTCTGAAAATATTAATTAATTTCCATTTTTTCCCTAAAACTTCAACACCCCGAGTTTTTGTAGGGAAACATTTTTGGACCATAGTTTATGAAGCAAACTTACATTAATCTTTCTTGTAGATTCACACCCTTGAATATTCGCATATCATTAAGGAACACCCTGTATAATATGTCCAATAAAGTGTCAAAAAAATAAAGACGATTTATTATTATTATTTACAAAGTGATGACAACGTACTGAATGCCACTCGTTTCTTGAATAAAGTTTTATCGTTTCATGCAGTACCATTTTATCATATTGATAAATTCAATCCTCCCCACCACTGTTCCGCTTCCTCCTTCTCTCTTCTCCATTCACAGTCATTTTAGCGGACACAAAGTGCCGCTGTACCACATCACAAACTCCCGCTGTACTCCGCTCGCTCGACTCTGCTCGGGTGGTAGCTGGAGAAACCCCGCTAAAAATCCGCTAAAATTTCCCTGGAAATTAAACCTCTTCTTTGACACGTTTAATCCGGAATGCGCCGTAGGGATTCATGCCAACCTAACACCCCCTCCCCGCCCCCTTCTACCACCCTCACCGCCATATTTTCTCTTAAGCCTCGCAGGACGGATCAACGGGGTACAGGTGCGGAATGGCTCAACAAAAGCTAAATAACCCTGAAATCTTCTCACGTTGAAATGTTTGAAATGCACGGGTATCACGTATCTTGAAAAGTGACATTATGCTAGTTTTTTTTGACATTATGTAGGTTTTTCTAAAAGATGTTAACTTAACACTTAGTTGTACGTGTTGCTTAAACGGCATGTGGCTTGTTATCAATCTTTGGCTTTGATGTGATGTAAAATCTGCTTCTGAGATGGCATTACTGGAGGTCTAAGCTGTAAGTGGTATGTGTTGATGATAATTACATTAGGATACACTTAATTGGGAAACCATATTGTGGGGCCTCTATTCATCGAACAAACTTTACCCGGGGACTGTATTTGGATATGCTGGAAAATACCATTGACCATCTAATCACCGAAATCGTCGAAACGAATTTTAATGAATTCGATACTGATATTGTATTCCAGCAAAATGGTGCTCCACCACACTACTACAGACAAGTTAGGAATTATTTAGATGACAATCCCCCCCGGTCGTTGGATTGGCCGTCGAGGTCCTGTGGACTGGCGATATCGGTCGCCAGATTTGACACCTTTAGACTTTTTCATGGGACTATTTGAAGCAAAAGGTGTACGAAACTAAACCTCCTTCAATATTGGAAATACGGCTGAGAATAACAAATATTTGTAGAAATATCGATCTTACTGTGTTGAGAATATTAGACGCGAAATTACGAACCGGCTATTATTGTGTAAGTTCAAGGCAACCATTTCCAGCATCTTCTAAACTGAACTCAACGTATTTATTCGAATTTTCAGTTAAATGTCAATGTATTCAGGTATTTATTAAATGTACCACCATTTTGTAGCAGGTAAAGGTAGCGTTATAAAGTACTCGTCAGAAGCTTCAAAATGATGAGCCACAAGACCCCCGCTTTCATGTAATTTTTTTCCAAGATGGCGCCCCGTTCAAAACATCAAAGGGAAGAGGGATATTAAAGAAAAGAGCACTGTATATGAATATCTCGATATTGGTAAACCAACTGCGTGTGTTTTTGTTGACTTGGCAAAGGCATTCGACTCAGTCTCATAAATCGCTTTTAACTACATTAGAAAAAGTAGGTTTCCGTGACGTAATATACGAACTTATGAAAAATTATTTGTCAAGTCGAACACAGTGCGTCAAAATTGATATTACATTTACTGAACCCTATATCGTATCGTACAGTGTACCCAAAGGTACAGTATTAGGGCCCATTGTATTCTATTTATCAACGATTAAGTAATGAGGGTGAAGTTATCGGTTTTACGGATGATACAGCTATTTCTCTATGGAAGTAACCAGTTGCATACGCTAAAAATCAAAAATGATATTAGAGTAAAAGAAAACTTCCATATATTCAAAAAAAAATATGAAATATAGGTAAAACTGCTTCATAAAAAAGTTGTAAACAATGAAAACATGTTCGAAATGACCTCTTACTTGTTCGGTTTTCAGTTGCAGTTAATTTTTAATGCAATAAATATACAATTTTCAAACTAAAAGAGGAAAAACTGGATTATCTGGAAATCATTTAAACGCCCATGCTTTTCTAACCAATTTAGCCACATGCATTGCAATCTTCTTTATTGTACTTACAGTAAAGAAGATATATATACAAGGATAAATTTCAGATGTTACATTGGAAAAACTTCCTCGTGATTTACATCCAGCAAATGGTGCAAAAGGAAT